TGCAGTCTGTTTTGAAGCTCTCTTTCGTTTCTCCAGAAGAAGAATAGGAATAGTAACTCCTTGCGTGCGCAGATGGACTGCAGTTCGGGTTCGTTCAGTTCGGAGTTTTAGGGTTTTTTAAATTGTTTTTTATTTTAATGACCTCTCGCCTTTCATTCTCAAGTCATATTAAACGAAGAAAACAGTCACACATTCCTCCGGAAGAGATTTTTAGTCAGCGTAACCATTTTTTTAAAGCGTTCTTTCGAAATTTGAATTCTTATTCATTCAAAAACTTGTAAGTTTCACTTTGAATTTTTTTAACACAAATAGGGTAACTCTGTTCGCAAAGGGTGCGCATTTGCGAAGAGGGCGCCACCGAATTTTGAGGACATTTTTTTAATTGACTTAAAGAGAGGAGTGACCCCTCTTGTTACGTAGACTCTTTGTTTTAGGTTTAGTAAGTTTTTACAGCACTTGCAACACAATAAGGTCATATAAGTGCCGAAGATTAGAGGTGTTACAAGAGAGTAACAAACACAAAAAAGAAAGAGGTGAGATACAGACGATAGATGTTTGATAGGAAAGAAGGAGCAAACCACACCAGAGCACCCGCCAACAACCCATAGCCATAAAATATTGTATAGATTTTGTTATTTCCTAAAAAATAAATAAATAGATAAATGGCATAATATTGTTTAGCTGGACGAGCCATAGAACCAGACGACCTCTTCAATGAGGTATAATGGCGCTGCCGTGCGTGGGTGGAACATCTTCAATCAATCCAGCGGCCATCCCACGGAGACCTGTGTGGGTTCTTCCGTCATCGGGCAACCGTGGAACAGCCGACACAAACCATATGCCGATAGTTTCCTCCTTTCTCCTGATCACCAATTTCTGTCAGCGTCTCGACATACCATAATGATTGGCACATTGATCGACGAAGCCAGCAAGAGTAGGAAGAAATCGTCCAGTCTGCCATCGTCTCCGTGCCCCACCACGGTACAATACCTCCGATTGGCGGATCAAGAGGGAGAACTAGTCATCTGATAATTTAGCGGATGATCAGGAAATTGCTGATAATTCCCCTTGATGAGCAGCGATTACCCTCCACGACTTAGAACGATTGGTAGGGGGCTGAAACAAAGAATGATGAATATGATTTCCTTTGCAAAGTCGCTTGACAGCGGAGAAGAAGAAATATAGGTGGCTGGATAATTTCCTTCATGACTTCTTCCAGTTTCATCGATTCTATGTTTTCTAGAGATCACATCATGGTGTTCTTGTTTCTTCCCATAATTTTGCTCGTTTATATTGTTATTACTATTTCTGGAGCTCCATAGATTGACTGAAGTATCACAACCCAATAAATCTTGTACTTCTGCTTCTGATTGTCTGGTATTTTGCTCTCTCTCCCAGAAAATCTAAGGCAGTCCGCTTCTTGACTGATCTCACTGAGTGGAGGCGATAGCAGAGTAAAACAGCAGCGGCTGCCAGACAAGTGCGTAAGTATTAAATGTGTGTCAGTTCTTTTCTGAGAATTCTTGGACAACTGGTGTCTGCGGTGTCTCTATGTCTTAGATTCTGTCCGTCTCAGAACGTGAGATGTTGTGCACTGGTGTGTCGTGGTGTCTCAGTGTCAAAGAAGAACATCTTCGTCTTTGTATCAAGGATAGTGGGGGGGTTGGCGGGTGTTTTAGTGTGGTTTGCTCCTTCTACCCTATGAAACATCTATCGTCCGTTTCTCCCCTTCTTCTTTTTTATGTTTCTTACTCTCTTGTTACTCCTCTAAATTTCTGGCGCTCATATGACCTTATGCAGTTGCAAGCGCCGTAAAACCTTTACTAAAACTAAACACCGTACATGCCAGGATGACCCTGACAAATAAGGTGGAAGCAGCCAGCTAGGTAAATTGTTTAAAATGAGTCGAGGTAGGTGTACGCTCACTTATTATACCACCACTTTATTGGTGGGCGGGGGCGGGGGGGGGGAGGGGGGAGGGGGAGAGGTCTTAGCGATATAATGCAGCTCGCTGTGTAAGGATTGGACAAGGGGTAGAAGAAATATTTCGTTTTTGAAATCGAGTTTGAGTTCACGTTGTGTGTGCAGTAGTTAGAAGTGATTCAATTAGCCCAGGGTACGGGTCTGCTGACTACTTCTTTGTATATCTTGATAACGATTCGGAAAAGTCTTGCGATTTTGATAGAGCAGCAGATAGAACATCTGGTTTCTAACCTCGGGGTCTTGGTACCTCAAAACAGACTTTAAAAATATCGAATAAAACTTTATAATTTGTCTAAGGTGGGGAAATACCCAAAACTGAAACAAATAGAATACTCACTGGTGCGATACAAATCGAAGATGTTTGTCTGAAAATCTTGCTCAGAACAGATTCAAACGTTATAAGAAACGAGAGAAAATGTCGCATGTACCTAATGACAGAGGAAATAAAACGCAATTATATCGTAAGAACGATTGCCTCCCTCACGGCAAATACATTCCTTACGTTCTTTTCCTCCTCTGCTGACCCACCTACAAGGACGACAACCCTGAGAGAACAAGACCAGACTGTGTCGACAGAAGTCATAACGACGCCATTGTCCTGTAGTCTATAGCCGCGGGGTGTACAACTGAATGTTGGTTTTTTTAAAGGTTTTTTTTTTCTTTTTTTTGAGGGGAAAAAGGGGGGGGGGGTCTGTTGTTCAGCGCTCGCTTGGTCATATGAGCACGCGGGACACATTAAACATTTTCAATTGGTAGGAAATTTTGAAATTTGCCATGAATGGCAGCCGAAGCCTACTCTTATCTTATTGATGTTTAGACCACCAAGGGATTGTTGGTGTCCTCACTGCTTCTTCCCCTTTTCTCCATTTGACGGACTGTAACAAGAAAAAGAAAAAAAAAACTTCATCTGATACCGTTTTGTCATGTTTGATAATTATTTCACCGATTTCTTTAGGGGATTTTTATTTTCTGTTTGCTTGTAAGAAAAGCTTTTTTTTTTTTGGTTTTGCTTCTCTTCTTCTGTCCATCTGTTATTGATTATGATTGACTGTCGCTGTTCCACGCCCACATAGACACGATGTGTGAGATCAATCAGGAAGCCGGTGTCTTTGACGCTGCTTATCATAGCTAGCACAGGTAGTAGAGAGGGCGGGGTGGTGCATGCCTCAGAAAGACACAGTTAGGATGCCCCACCTGAGCAGTGCTACTGACAGAAGTGTCTTTCGGCCATTTCCAATGGGGGGGATATTAAAATGTTCTTATGCACAGTAGAATTGTAAATGGGCTGATTTATCAATGCCATGCTCATACTGTGCAGAAACAATATAGTGGGAACTGTTGCTTTTTCTTTCCTCATCCGTTCTATAGTCATTTTTACCTCTACTTCTTTTGTTGTTAGTCACTCTCTTGTGATCTGCTATTTCCGGGATGCCTTGATAGTCGAAGCAGACTTTGTGCTGTTGAGGCAAGAGAGGTGAACAGAGTAAGCCTGATTCCCCGTATTGACTTTTCTGTTGACATCCACTCCTTGGTGCTCCTTTGACCTTATACAGTTGCCAGCGCCGTAAAACCTTACTAAAACTAAACGAACCCTCGTCCTTTTGTGTGCCACAGCGAAGAGCCCTGCTATCAGATCACAGTCACGTGGTCTTTTGTTCTAAACATCCCGGGTGCAAATACAACTTGTGTTCTTGTTTGTGTGGTAGGTTGTTTTTGTTTTGTTTTTGTTCTGTTTTTGTTTTTGCTTTTTGTTGTTGTTGTTGTTGTTTTGGTAAATGTTTTACGGCGCCTGCGACTGCATAAGGTTATGTGAGCGCGCGGGACACATTAAACATGTTCAGTCTGGTAGGAATTTAACATTTTGTTCGTGTGTGGGCCGAAGCCTACTCTTATCGATTTTTTTTTACCACCAAGGGATCTTTAACGTGCGCAGCTTACACACTGGACTCTGAGAGTTTTTGCCCTTATCGGAACTCACCCGAGAAGGCTAGGTATTAAATTTTACCTACCATGAGATCAAGGGTGTGGCTGAAAGAAAGCAGTAAGAAGGAGCCAAGGAGTAGCAGTAGATAGGCTGCAGAAAGAATCAGGAGCCTAGAGGAAGGGGCAAAGAGGAGAGTGAAGGGTTAGAAAGTGGAGACGAAAGCAGACAACAGAACAGGGTTAGAGAGCAGGAAAGGAAGTGAAAGGAGAACATTTTAGAGAAGGAAATGTTCCGTAACTGTCAGGTTTCGAACCTAGGTACCTGTTGAATGAGAGGTGAACACCGTAACCTCTAGACCACGAGAGCCCCCCGGCTAAGTTCTGACATGAAAGCTATTATAAATCACACAGGTGAACACATTTCTCACATATAATATTTGTGTGAAATCAGACGCTTGTTAACCTTTCGCCACAATAATAATAATAATAATAATAATAATAATAATAATAATAATAGTAATAATAATAATATCGAGTTGTTGTTTTCTTTAAAGGGCCTTCCCCTTTCTCACTTTTGATTTATTTATTTTTTGTCCACCTATCTTAAAAAGAAATCGATACATTTGCTATTGAAAGAAAAAGGGATCGTCTCGTCTCAGCGGTTTAATCAGCGAGAATATAGCCACGAAAGTTTGTTGACTTCAAACGCTTGAGTTTTCTTGGAAACTGCAAATTAAAAATTTCTTTGTGATGGTCTGATCAACGCTTTATAGTAAAAATAGTGGGTGGTTGGCGGGTGGTCTGGTGTGGTCTGGTGTGGTCTGCTTCTTTTTTCCTATCAAACATCTATCGTCTTTATCTGCCCTCCTTCTTTTTTTGTGTTTGTTGCTCCCTTGTAACACGTCTAACCGTCGGCGCTTACATTATGACCTTATTGTGTTGCAAGTGCCGTAAACACTTACTAAAACTAACTCTCCTCCTTCTTTTGTGTGTTTTTTATTCTCTTGTAACACCTTCTCTAATCTTCGACACTTACATTAAGACCTTATTGTGTTGCAAGTGCCATAAAACTCTATAGCTAAAAATGAAGTAAAAATACACTGAAATGCATTGTTTAGTGTTTTTGGATCGACATAATAATAGGGTTTGTGCCAAAAATATATATATATATATATCGATAGAAATGATGCAACCGACGGGAGGAACTGACCGTTTCGTTGGTTTTATTCCTTTGACGAGCGCCTTGTTTTACCGCGATTGCACACATAGTTACGTTTCTGGCGCGGTTGCCAACGTTTATTCAGATTGGTGTTCTGACATTTGCTGGTGAATGCCAGTGTAATGATTGGGTGGTCAGAGGTAGTTAAATACACACATGTTAGTGGAGGCAGCGCACACTTACCGCGCATAACTGGTCTGATTAGTGACTGAATATTGAAGATTATAAAGACCAAGAGTTAAACAAAGAATGATATTATGTACAGTTGAAATAGGAGTATTTGTCTCTTCCTCTATACTCCCTCTTTCTTCGTCTCTCGGTCTCTCTGTCTCTTTCCCTCTGTCTGTCGGTCTGTCTGTCGGTCTGTCTGTCTGTCTGTCTGTCTGTCTGTCTGT